AAAAGCATGACACCAGCGTGTTACTGTAGTCTACTTTTGTTCTTGATCTTGCAGGGTTATGTGAAGCAGTTGACTACAACATTCTTCTAGATCATGAACTAGAAGGAAAACATGATCTGTGGATGACTGAGTATGGATGAGTCTATAAAGATGAGTCGGAGAGAGCAAAAAGATTAGAGATATTCTGAACATCGTCAAGTTCATAAATTTCACCAATGCGGGGGAGCATAATTACACTTTGGGCGTGAGCCAATTCACCGACCTCACATGTGAAGAGTTCTTGGCTACTTACACGATAGATTATACTTAGGAGCCAGAGTTTGAGGAGTCACCGAGGTTAATCAAGTATGAGTCCATAAACCTGCTGGCGTTGATTGGAGGCTGGAGGGTGTGGTTACTGCCATCGAAGATCAAGGCAAATGTGGTAATAAAAATTGCTCATTTTCTATAGAAGCATGTTCAATTTAAAGTGTACATTGCATTACTATTATTATGCTTAAACACCATTCTAATTCCGAAAACTATAGGATTGTGCTAGGCATTTGCTGCGATAGGAGTAGTTGTAAGTTTTATTCATCTCACCGAAGTTCCACTCTATAGGGTATCGGAACAACAAGTACTATACTACAATCCTCATGGCCACGGTTGCCATAGAGGTACCCGTGAAGAAGCCTTCAGATACGCCGCATCCCACAATAGCCTCACTCTCAAATCTTACTATGCATATAAAGGAGTGAAAGGTCAGATACGCCGCATCCCACAATAGCCTCACACTCAAATCTTGCTATGCATATAAAGGAGTGAAAGGTCGTTGTGATGAAAGCAAGTTAAACTGGGTTCAAACTTGTGGTATTAGTACTACTTAGGCTATACTGAGAGGTTGCTTATGCACATGATGTCAAGACAGCCTATCGTAAGCTTCAAAGCGGTTTTAGTTTTATCAAAGAGGCATTTTCGATGGACCTTGTGGGACTGAACATGTTAAATTAGATAGTTATTGAATCATGTTTATTTAATGGGATACTCGGTAATTAACTTGTGACCATATCCAGTCTCATACACTATATGTTCTGCTCCTTCTCATGAATAAATTTATTGGTCTATTTCCTAACATGATATCAGAGCACAGGTTATGAAATAGATCTTAACCTCAGCCCTCCATCTAAAAGTCATTCTAATATCCACGACCAATGCAAACCCTAACCCTAATCTACTCCAAACCCTAACCCTAATTTTACTGGTCCAGCAACACTACCAAGGCATGTCGTTGCCACCGGCAACCCTCCCAGCCAGTGTCACCGGCTCCTACCACCGCCCATTAGCCCTTCACCGCTGACCGGAGGGACAAGATTTGCATTACTGCTGCAATTTTCTGTCTAGATTTGTGCTGTTGCTACTTTTTATTCCCAGATCTGCCAAAATCTTAGTGTTTGCTGTTATTTTCTGCCTATAGGCTGTTTTCTACACTGTTGCTGCTATTTTCTGAGATCCTGCTGCTGTTTTCTGGCTGTGGGCTGTTTTCGGCACTGTGACTGATGTCTTCTACCCTATTAATGTTGTTTTCTGCCTGCTGCTGCTGTTTGAGGTGGCTGCTGCTATTGCTTGCTGCTGACCTTTATCTTTTGAGGATCTTAAGTCAACTCAAACCTCTGATTTCTGATTTTAGTTGCTTTATGGAGTCAACTTGATGCTTCTTATGAGATCAACATGCTAATTTATTTATCTGGTTATCTAACTACTGATTCTAGCTACCTATCATTTAGTTATTTAATTGGTTTCATGGCTTCCGTAGAGAATTGGATTGTGTTTATTACATCTTCTGCTTGGAGACTACGGCTCCCAAGACTTTACTGGGAACAACTGTGAAGCTAGATGGATCTAACTAATTGCTGTGGTCTCAATCTTTTCAAATTTTTATTGGTGCGCAAAACAAGTTGAAGCACCTGTTAGAGGATCCACCAGCTTCTACAGAATCCAGCTATACTGATTGGAGATCTGGAGAATACTATGTTATGACATGGCTTCTAAACAACATGGAGGAGAAAATCAGTTGTGCCATTATGTTCTTGAAAATAGCTAGGAAGATGTGGTATACTCTCAAGAAGATGTGTGGAAATGAGAAGAATATGTCGAGGGTATATGAGCTTTATATATGAGAAGAATACATGCAAGTTTCAAAACACTTATGATCTGATGCTATTCTGTGTGCTTTCCATTTGATTAATAGAAAGCCATCTTTTGTTCTTAATGAGAAAATTTCTTTCCAATGTATTTATCCTACCAAGAGCATGTTTTCTATTGTTCTTAGAATGTCTAGGTGCACATGTTTTTATCAGGATTTGAGACCTGGTTTCGGCAGGCTATATGCTAGATCTATTAAGTGTGTCTTTGTTGGTTCAAAAAGAATGTGTTACAATCCATGCGCTGAGTTCTGGAGTTGAAACTAAACCTATAACAAAACCTCTACTAGTGTACATTCGAAGACCAAAACTTCTTGCTTCTTCATAACTCTCAGCTGAATCTCTACTTATAGCTACAGATCCTACACATCATCAATTCTTTGTTCCTTCTAACTTTGATCTTCCCATTGCCCTCAAAAAAGGTAAACGATCTACAATTGCTCATTCAATCTCTCATTTTATTTCTTATGATCATCTTATCCTGTAATTTCTCCAGTTTGCTTTGTCCTTGTCTTCTGTATCTTTACTAGGTCTTATCAAGAGATAACGCTAGTTCCTGCTTGGAAGCAAGCTATGGATGAGGAGATATATGCACTTGTTTCTAGAGTGATTGCAATTTGGTGCTTGCTCCTAAGAGGGCTAACATAGTTCATTGTCGCCGGGTTTGTACTTTGAAGTATCGACCGGATAGTTCAGTGGATAGATATAAAGTCAAGCTGGTTACTAAAAGCTATACACAGACGTATGGAATGGACTACTTTGACAACTTCTCACCTGTTGCTTGGCTGAATTTTACCCGTATCCTACTCTCTATTGCTGTTAATATGGAATGGCCCATGTTCCATCTGAATGTCAAGAATGTCTTTGTATGTGATAATCTACAGGAGGTTTATACAGGGCAACCTCCAGTGTATGTTGCTCAGGGGGAGGATATTGTATGCAAGCTGAAAAAGGCAATTCATGGGCTCAAATAGAGTCCAAGGACATAGTTCAACAAGTTTAGTAAGATATTTTCTGGTGTTGATTTTCAGAGATGCAATTCAGATCACTCTGTCTTCATTCATCATACTACTAGTGGATTAGTGGTCTTAGTTGTATATGTTGATGACATCTTACTAACAGGGAGTGATATAGTTAGCCTAGCAAAAACTAAGGAGTATATGAAGAACAACTTTGCGACAAAGGATATGGACAAGCCGAAATACTTTTTTGGGATTGAAATGGCTCACAAAAAACATGGGTAACTTCTTTTTCAAATAAAGTACACCTTGGATCTTTTGGAAGAGATAGGTCTTATAGGGTGCAAGCTTGCAAGTATCCTAATGGAAGCAGAGGAACTTTGGTGTGAACATAGCAAACTCTTTGAAGACGCTAAACAATATAGGAGATTGATTGGCTAGCTAATATACCTTACAGCTATTAGGCCTGATATATCTTATGTTTGTTTGAGTTATGAGTTGTTTCATGCACAAACCTAGAGAGGTTCATTGGAGCGGCTTCAAGGATCCTTGCTTATGTAAAAAGTTCACCTGGAAAGGGGTTATTGTATAAGAAGCATGGTAACGTACATATCTTAACCTATTCAGACTCGGGCTATGCAGAAGATATGGGAGACAGAATGTCTACTAACTGACAGTACCATTGTTAGAGGAAATCTTGTGACTTGGAGAAGCAAGAAATAGGATGTAGTTTCTCGCACTAATGCGAAAGCCGAGTATAGGGCAAGGCACATACTACACGTGAGATGATGTGGTTGGGAAATCCAATGCTAGAACTTGGCTTTTTACAGCCTCGACCAATGCTCATGCACTGTGGTAATCAGTTTACTATCTACATTGCCAAAAATCTTATTTTTCATGAATAGAAGCATATCCAGATTCACTGTCATTTTATTAGAGACGCAGTGATGAAAATGTGATTTGTAATCCCTTTACACCTACCTCAGAGCAATTGGTGGATATTCTCACTAAGGCGACGTCATCCCAAGTTTTTTTCTATGTTGTGTAGCAAGCTGGGCATGATTGATATCTATGCTCTAGCTTATGGGAGCGTTAAATTAGATAGTTATTAAATTATGTTTAGTTATTGGGTTAGTGGGTAATTAACCCATGACCATATCCACTCTTGTACCCTATATACTCTGCTCCTTCTCATGAATAAAATTATCAGTTTGTTTCATAACAGAACATTTTACGAAAATTGCTTTTGGTTCTCCAAGTTTAAAAACTTGCTCTTTCACCCTCTTCCACATTTTTTATTCAAGCTTCTAATTTCCTTGACCCAAAATTCATCCCCTTCAAACATGTTTGAATGTACTTTAATACACCCTCACCCTCATCCTCTCATCTTCCTCATCTCTCTCATCAACCCATAATTTAACCCTCCTCCTCCCCCTCCTCCTCCTCCTCCTGCTTCTCCCTCACAGATCCATGTACTATCATCGTTTTCAGTTTACTACCTCTATAGTTTTTTGTTGCAAATAGACCCCTAGGTCAAATATAGTATTAACCAGCAATCCAAAAAAAAGAGGAGTTAATCTACTCAAAACTAATAAGAATACCACACTAATCCAAACAGTAATCTATATCACCAGAAAAAATTTTAAAACCATTATGATGACCACCATCTCATTGGAATGAAGAAAATGTATATTGGCACCATGCTTAAAGGCAAAAAGAGAAAGCTCCCTGCTAATATACATTTTATCTCAAACCTAGGAACATGGCCAAAATTTTCAATCAAAACAAAAGATCTCTACTAATATCCACTTCTAAAGCTAAAATGATAGAAGAAGGGCATAAGCCCAATGTTAAGCCAGACTGAGGACATTCCAGCCTATTATTAAATTAAATGTCTTTTATAGGTATAATTGCAGCAAGTTTACCTTCAGACTTAGGTATTTATGCCATTCTGCTATTTTTGATTTACAGAAGCTCCCATCCTGAATCAATGGATTCTTGATTTGACGATAAATTAAGATTAAAATCTCCACTAGAAGCAAATGAAGCAGAACTCATCTGTTTGATTTGCGCTCCTGAGTCATTACTCCTGTACTGATAATTTGCAGAGTTATATCCCTTCCGAGAAGAAAATATATTCCTGAGTTTTTTCTGAAGAAAGTAGAAGAATGTCAGTTGCCAGATATTAACAACTGGACAGAAAAAGGCATCAAACTGGTAAGATGTCAGAAAAAGGCATCAAACTGGTAAGATGTCAGAAAATATATTCCTGAGTTTTTTCTGAAGAAAGTAGAAGAATGTCAGTTGCCAGATATTAACAACTGGACAGAAAAAGGCATCAAACTGGTAAGATGTCAGAAAGTAAACTTCTTAAATTTTATCTTAAAAAAATATTTTCCCCTTCTATATATCAATTCTATCCATATAATCTAGTATATCTATCTAGTCTATTTTAGTATCTAATTTCACAATGCACATGATATTATGTTATGGAGAAGGAAGAAAATAAGTAATATGCCAACATGGCTATTAACAATCAAAAAAGAATATTTCTTTGGGGATAAGTAATATGCACGATGAAATTATATACTAAATACCCTCTGCTATCCGGAACCAATTATGCAGCAGCACTTTAGCTACCTTATGAATCCAGCAAGATTCAAGCCATATGGGTCCTCACAAAAACTTGAAAAGAAATATTAAATGTTTATGAGAAACCTTAATCAGGTTCGCAAATTTATTTGCACAAGAATAGTAATTTTTCTACAATTGAAAATCATCAAATGTCAATTGTGTCTACTATTCTTGTAATTTAGTATTTTTCAATTTTTAAAGCATCAATACCCAGAATATTATAACTCCGATTTGGAAAAAATGAATCTCCTAAAACTATCAAAACAAAACTGCAACATACAGCAAGGCTTAAAGCCTTGCTTGATATATTCTAGAACTATTTTCCAGTGCATGTCATCTAAAAACGCTAGTCACATGCAAGGCTTATAAGAAGGCGAGATTAATTGGCCCTTCGAGAGACTAAATGAATAAACCACGTCATGAAACATAACAGGAATAAAATGGGTTTTTTTTTAAATGACAAATTTTATATCCAAAAATAATAATGCTTATTTCAATGTTAGTCCCTTAAATCTTTTATATTTATAAATTAGCCTCTAAATCATTGAAACTGCTATTATGTGCCTCAGTTCTTAAGTTATATGAAATTAGTCCCGAAAATCAGTAAAATTGCTATTAGGTCTCCCAATTATCATAAGATGTTTCAAATTAATCCCGCAAATTGCTACTACTCTTGATTCAAGGGACTAATTTCAAACTATATTTAGCATTGGGGGACTTAATATTAATATTAATATTAATATTAACTTCAATGATTTGAGAGACTAATTTCAAAATACCTTAAGAATTGGGGGACCTAATAACAAGTTCAATGATTTAACGAACTAATTTCAAAATATAAAAGATTTCAAGGACTAATATCCAAAAAACCAACATCTATCTATCTATCTATCTATCTATCTGTATACTAAAGTAAGGCCCTAGATAGCCACTTGGCAACTTGTGGCTATTTTGACTTTAGTTTGGTTTTTTTTTTTCTTTCTTCTTCCTTTTTCAACCTATTTACTCATAAAAATAATTACTTAAGTAATTAGCAACTAAACTTTTCATCTCTACCACCGTTGTTGAAACCCCTTCAAATTCTTTAACCTCACTCATTTAAATACCTCTTAATTTAGTAGCCCTTTAACACCTATTAATCCTATCAATTTCATGGATCGTAAACTCATTCATATCCCATTACATAACCCCTCCCTCTATTATGCATATACATAATCTCATTTTCATCTGGTAGGCCCCTATCGACATGTTTGATTAGTTCCCTTTTATTTCTATTGTGGAGAGAAGCTTTCTACATTTAGTTCTCTTTTTTATTTCTATGGCGGAGAGAAGCTTTCTACTCTTAGCAATGGACACAATGAGTTGAAAGTAAGTTGTCTCTAATTATAATATACTTTCTTACTTGGGCAGTTTATTTCACTTTACTCTCTTTTTTCATTCTACTTTGCCCCTTATTATGAATATAATTGATTTAATAAATTTCATGCATAATTCAAGTACTAATGGCTAAAAGAAAATGCTTAAAAGGATTATCTCAACAATAAAAATTGTTGTTGTCTTTTTCAATATAAATAATTATATTTGGAATTGTGGGGGGCACAAGCGGAACTTTTCTCGTGAGGAAAAGCAAGTGCTTCGAAATTGCTTCTCAAAGCCGCGTGAAGTGACACCTGCTGCGGGAAGAGATTGGCCAGCTAGCGAAAATACGTGAGAAGATAGCGTGGGGACCACGAGCGTAAGAAAAGCCATGTAAAGCGATGAGTCCAGGGGACAAAACCCGATTACCCGATATCATTTGCTATATATATAGCTTCGTTTCTCTCCTAGGGCGGTGCGCAATGGCTGGGCAAAGGACAGAGGTTTTGCGGCTACGGAGAAAAAGCAAAAGAGGGCTTCTGTTTTGGCAACTGCAGCAGGGGAAATCATAGGGTTTTGTGAAGAGAAAAAGAATTTTGGAGGCTGACATTTTCTTGAGAAGAAAAACAAAGAGCCTATTTGAGGGTTTAGATTGTGAGAGTTATAAACTCATTTGTATTCTTTTTCTCTCTAATAATAGATCCCCCTCCTTGCCCCGTGAACGTAGGCAGTTTGCCGAACCACGTAAAAATTGATTTATTTGTGTTTGTGGCCATTGTAATAGTTTTAGGACCCCTCGACAAGTCAGTCCTAGAACTGATGAGAGGAAGAGCCGATATCTCACTTTGTTGAGATATTCGCTTCAGATTCTTGTTTCCTTGGTAAGACGAAAATTCTTATTGATCCTTCTCTCTTATTGTGCACCAAAAACTCTGCCGAAAGTTTCGCTGTGGCCCCCACAATTTGGTATCAGAGCAATTGTAGGGGCAACAAGCGGAACTTTTCTCGTGAGAAAAAGCAAGTGCTTCGAAATTGCTTCTCAAAGCCGCGTGAAGTGACACCTGCTGCGGGAAGAGATTGGCCAGCTAGCGAAAATGCGTGAGAAGATAGCGTGAGGACCACGAGCGTAAGAAAAGCCATGTAAAGCGACGAGTCCAGCGGACAAAACCCGATTACCCGATATCATCTGCTATATATATAGCTTCGTTTCTCTCCTAGGGCGGTGCGCAGGGGCTGGGCAAAGGACAGAGGTTTTGCGGCTACGGAGAAAAAGCAAAAGAGGATTTCTGTTTTGGTGACTGCAGCAGGGGAAATCCTAGGGCTTTGTGAAGAGAAAAAGAATTTTGGAGGCTGACCTTTTCTTGAGAAGAAAAGCAAGGAGCCTATTTAAGGGTTTAGATTGTGAGAGTTGTAAACCCATTTGTATTCTTTTTCTCTAATAGTAGATCCCCCCTCCTTGCCCCGTGAACGTAGGCAGTTTATCGAACCACGTAAAAATTAGTTTGTTTGTGTTTGTGATCATTGTAATAGTTTTAGGATCCCTCGACAAGTCAGTCCTAGAACTAATGAGAGGAAGAGTCGATATCTCACTTTGTTGAGATATTCGCTTCAGATTCTTGTTTTCTTGATAAGACGAGAATTTTTATTGATCTTTCTCTCTTATTGTGCACCAGAAACTCTGTCGAAATTTTCGCTGCGCACAACAAGTGGTATCAGAGTTCAGGCTACTCTTGGGTTATTTGGAGTAGTAGATCAATTTGGAGGCTCGTCTAGGACTTCATTTGGTGATAAAAATGGGATCTTTTGGTAAAGACTCTTTATCTTTTTAGTTTTGGATCTATTCTTCGTTCGTTGGTGCGTTGAGAAAGATATCGGAGAAAGAAGGTGCTTCGGGTGTCGAGAGTGGTGCTTCTGGCGCGAAGACCATTCAGAGTTTAAATATCCACTCTATGAAGATAGATGTGAAAAAGTTTAATGACACAAATAATTTTGGATTATGGAGATGCGAGATTTTGAATGCGCTGAACGCGCAGAATTTAGAAGATACCTTGGAATTAGATTGCAAGTCAGATGAGATTGAAAAGAATGTTTGGAAGAAGATGAATCGAACGGCGTGTGATGTGATTAGCTCTTGTTTGACTCAAGATCTAAAATATGATGTGATGAATGAGACTTCTGCAAAGAAGATTTGGAAGATTCTCGAAAGTAAGTATCTGACAAAGAATGTTGAGAACCGCTTGCATTTGAAGAGGATACTTTATCATTTCAAGTTGAAGAAGGGAACCTCAATTAGAGATCACATGAACACTTACACAAAGCTTCTTATGGATTTAGCGAATGTGGATGTCATGATTGAAGATGAGGACAAGACGTTGCTGTTATTGAGTTCCTTGCCTGACGAGAAATATGAGACATTCGTCCTTACTTTGATTAATGGGAAGGCATCTCTTTCGTATAGTGAGGTCATTATTGAATTGGTGAATTATCAGCTTCAGAAGAAGGATAAGAAGACTTCGACTGAGTCGGTAGCAGAGGCGTTGGCCGCAAGAGGGAATGGTCCAAACCGAAAGAATTGAAAGTCACAGTCTAGAGTAGAAAAAGATCAGTGTGTTTGATGCAAGGAGACTGGTCATTGGAAGAAAGACTGTCCAAAGCTCGACGAATGGATGAAGAATAAGCAGAAAGGAAAAGGGAAGCAACCATCATCAGAAGCAAACATCGTATCGGATGGTAATATTTCTGACTCTTCTATTTATTCTTTTTCTATCAGTCCTACGTGTAGCTATTCGGAGGAATCCGAGTGGATGTTAGATAGTGGTACGACCTATCATGTGTGTCCTAGAAGGGAATGGTTCTCTAGTTTTGAAAAGCTGAATAGTGATATGGTGTACATGGCTGATAACCGTGCATGCCAGATTCTTAGGATAAGAAGAATTCGCATAAAAATATTTAACAGGACTGTTAGGGAGTTAAATGATGTGAGATATGTTCCTTCTTTGAGAAAGAACTTGATCTCGATTGGAGCTATGATTGGAGAGGGTCTGAATGTTCGAATTGAGGACATGGTTCTCAAAATTATGAAAGACTCTCGGATTGTGATAAAGGACGTCAGGAGGAATAACCTGTATTACTTGACTGGAGGTATAGTGACAGGTGGAGAACTGGCGACTTCTATTGATTCGACTTGACTGTGGTATTTGGGGTTTAGCCATTCTAGTATTGATTCCTCGCATAGATTAAAAGAGGGTGTGAAGACCTGCAGTTTGAAGTCCAGTGAACATGTTGATGTGAGCAAGAAGACCAAGGTGAAGTTTGACACTTCTATTCACCGTGCTAAGGATCGTTCTGGAGGAGTTCACGTGGATGTTTGGGAGCCTTCCAAGGGAACATCATTGTGAGGTAATAAAAGTTTGGTTTTCTTTGTTGGTGGATGTTCTAGGCGTGTTTGGGTTACAACCAAATCCCCTATGGATAAAGTCCTAGTAGTCTCTAACAGTTTGAAGAAGTGTAAGATGGACAGAAAGGTGAAGGTACTTTATTCTGATTTTGATGGGAGGTACAAGAAGAAGTGTAAGATGGACAGAAAGGTGAAGGTACTTTATTCTGATTTTGATGGGAGGTACAAGATGGATCTGTTTCTGTATTGGAGCCGAGCTCACGGTATTTTGAGACACTTCGTTGGAAAAGAAATCTTAGGACAACTAGATAGGGTGACAAATTTGGAGAACCGTGCCTTGCTCGAGGAGGATCGGTGTTTGTGGTCGAGCAATGGTTTGCAAAAGAATTTCTGGAATGAGGCTTCGACATATTTGGATTATTCTATTAAAGAGTTGTCAACTGTTGTAATTGGAGGTAAAACTCTATTGGAAGATAGGTCTGATTGTGTCACTTCGGTTGAGGCTTCAATGAGGGAGCTATTTGACTCTCAGCAGGTGGAGAGTTTTAGACAGACCTTAGAGGCATCGCAACGGGTGAAGAGTGATGCTACTCCACATTGAGTGAAGATTACTCCAGAATCCAGATCATACTGTATCATTTGGGATTCTAGCTGAGATGACACAGCTTCGGGATCAATTGGTTTTGGATGCAGATGATGAGTTGGATTTTGATTTGAATGCAGCTGGTAAACGTATTTTGGATATGGCCATTGGTTCATCTCAGGTGGAGATGTTTGGATTATTTCAGTTTGGGACCATTGGAGGTGCTATCAGCCGTAGACTTGATCGTGATGTTAAAGAAGGGTTACGAACTCTTCTAATGGATTGAGGCCTTTGGAGATCGTTTTGGGTGAACTACGTGAAGGCTTGATTCCTTGGACAAGAGGATACGTACGCAGTCTTTACGATGCAGCCGGTTTAGATCGATTTGATGGGTTGATACCGATATTTGGAGAGTGTTCGCATTCTCGTTTAGGTCTCGACTTGTTGTGGATTGAGTCAGTTATCGTGAATTGTTTCACTTCATACTGGACGCAACAAGTGAGGTATTTTTTTTGTTGGTGTCGGCTCAGCTTTGAAAAAACTTCGCCGAGGTGGAGAATTGTGGTGGCCACAAACGAAACTTTTCTCGTGAGGAAAAGCAAGTGCTTCGAAATTGCTTCTCAAAGCCACGTGAAGTGACACCTGCTGCGGGAAGAGATTGGCCAGCTAGCAAAAATGCGTGAGAAGATAGCGTGGGGACCACGAGCGTAAGAAAAGCCATGTAAAGCGATGAGTCCAGCGGACAAAACCCGATTACCCGATATCATCTGCTATATATATAGCTTCGTTTCTCTCCTAGGGCGGTGCGCAGGGGCTGGGCAAAGGACAGAGGTTTTGCGGCTACGGAGAAAAAGCAAAAGAGGGCTTCTGTTTTGGCGACTGCAGCAGGGGAAATCCTAGGGCTTTGTGAAGAGAAAAAGAATTTTGGAGGCTGACCTTTTCTTGAGAAGAAAAGCAATGAGCCTATTTGAGGGTTTAGATTGTGAGAGTCGTAAATCCATTTGTATTCTTTTTCTCTCTAATAGTAGATCCCCCTCCTTGCCCCGTGGGCGTAGGCAGTTTGCCGAACCACGTAAAAACTGATTTGTTTGTGTTTGTGGCCATTGTAATAGTTTTAGGACCCCTCGACAAGTCAATCCTAGAACTGATGAGAGGAAGAACCGATATCTCACTTTGTTGAGATATTCGCTTCAGATTCTTGTTTCCTTTGTGAGACGGGAATTCTTATTGATCTTTTTCTCTTATTGTGCACCAGAAACTCTGCCGAAATTTCCGCTGTGCACAACAGGAATCATCTTCTTTTTGATAAAAAAAAATGTGCCTTAAAATATCCCGCAGCATTGCCCCAGTACAAGACTAGTTAAGATGTACTAAAATGGAGCCCTTTATGGGTATACCCATGGACAACTGAGCAAGCATTAGCAAGCAGTATAAGAAAACGCATGTTGGCAGCAAAAAATACTTAATATGAAATACAAACATATCTCAGGTTACCTTGAACGGCATATTCTTTTCATTATTTTCAGCAATATAGAAAAAATCTTCATTCTTTATGGACTCAAATTTTTCTGTTTCTGAATTCTGATTAAGCATAGTAGAGGTACCAGAAGACAAATCGTCCCTGCCATCAGAATCTGAAAATTCTGCAACATCCAAAAGTACAAAGACCATAAGTATATTTAGTGAAAGTTAAGTATAATAAAAGGTTAAGGATACCAATTATCCGAAGGTTGGCTTTTATGCCAGATAGAAAGAAAACAATTCAGATACATTCTACCAATATTTGCATGTACTGTTACATATGGAGAATTTTCAGAAGGCCAAGAGTATTATGAGCAAGAAAAAAGGATAAAGCTAGACAATAATAAAGTACACAACTGTAGAATAAAAACTCAGCACAGAGAGCTAAGATCACAAGCTGGATATAAGTTGTGTCCTTTCCCTCAATTCTTATGGTAAAAGATCCAAGTTTTAGTGATTGGAGGGTTCTCTCCCTCTATTCCTTTCTGTTTGCACTTTGTTACTGGTTTTTCATTGAATTTGTTTATTATATGACTGATGTTCTTGCAGTCTTTTTTTATCCTTTTGCTATTTTTTTATTTTTTTTTGGGGTGGGGCCGCGGAGGTGTTTGTTTCTTCAGGTGGGGAGGGGGATTGTGCCCTCACCCTGGCATGTAGCCGCATTTTCTTAGTAGAAACTGTTTTCCTAAGATTTAAAATAGCAGGATTTTATGGGAACACAAATAGAAATAAGATACTAAAGCCATAGATGAAATGAAGCCATGGATATAGGCTACCATTTGCAGAATAGTGGTTCTCTGGCGAAAACATATAATACCATTTGATGCTTTTAGAAAACTTATTCAAAAGACATTTTCTATTAGTTAACCTGTGATGTTTAAAGTTAGAGATGAATTGAAGCTGGGGATGAAGGGTACCATTTGTGGAATAGCAGTTCTTCTCTGTAGAAAATTTCTAAACCTTTTGGATGCTTTAGAAAACTTATTCATGAGCAAAACTCTACGTGTTTACTTTGATTTCAGAAAAACTTTTGTGCCTTCATCATCTTCAAGTCCTTCTCCGTTCGTATATGAAAGTTTAGTCCAGCATTCCATATAATGCCACACCTAAGTTAAACAGATACGCGTACGGTATGGATGCGGGCATGTGTACAAGATACACCGAATTTGTAAAAGGTAGGGCATGTGGATACTGCTATACGTACATATATACATATCCATTTATATATATGTATATCTATCTGTATGTGTATGGGCATGTTTATGTGTATGTGTATGTGTATGTGTATGTGTTATGTGTACATGTATGTATATATAATCATTTACAGGAGATCATTGTTAGTTTCTCATTCATTGTTATGAACATTAAAATTTCTAGAACAGTTTTATATTTATTTTATTTTTTTTTTGTACATACATATACAAATAAGAAAACTGATTATTGTTTAACCCGCTACCCAAAACACCCTTTAAATCATAGTTTTGAACTGGTACAAGCTGAAACAAACTTGACCTATGTCCAATGAGTTTCAAGAAGTGTACGGTATGTGTGTGATATACATCCAAGAAGTGCATGACAAGTATTTTAAATTAAAACATGTGTTATATAATTGAGTACATGTTTGAATAAGTGTATGTATATATCCAAGGAGGGGTATTTAAATTAAAACATGTACTATGTAATTAAGTACACTTTCTTTTCGATATGTTGGTGAATATACAGTATGGGCAACAAATTCCAACTATAGATTATGTGCAAGTGATACACCATTATGTACTGCCATAAATGTATATATATGCAAGCTCTATTTTCAATCCTAATCTATGAGGTTTGGTCTTGGCAGTGGCAGAGCCACATTCAAGTGAGTGTGGGCAAATGCCCCCACTCAAAAAGTTATTTTGCTATATACCCCTTCTATGTAGTAACTCTAGTATTAAGACCCTAGCTAAGTATTTGGCCCCACTTAATAAAGAGTATAATTTATTTAAACTTACAAATGGACTACAATAAAATTAAATTGTAAATACCCTAATAGTTATGTGCCTAAGAGACCAAGTGGGGAAAATGCCCCCACTCAAAAAAATTGTTTTGCTATATACCCCTTCTATATAATAACTCTAGTATTAAAACCCTAGCTAAGTATTTGCTCCCACTTGGTCTCTTAGGCACATAACTATTAGGGGATTTACAATTTAATTTTATTATAATCCACTTGTAAGTTTAAAAAATTATACTTTTTATTACAATAACATGTACTTTAAATAGAGCCCATATTGTATAGTGGATTTTTTACTAATTGCAATTAATTTAATAAGGCCTATTTAACTAAATAAATATACCCATTAATTAATCCTAATTATCTCTAATTGATCCTTCTTCCTTTGTCGTCATTATGGATAAATCCCTTTTGAGAGAAAATCAAAACGAAAGGTGCGACTACAGGAGAGATAGAATGATTTAGGAATTTTCAGGAAAGAATAGTTACAATCTTTAAGCTTTATATGTTCTAAATACTTTGCATAAGATTCTATTAGAATTATTTTTGCACAAGAGCAAATCTTGAAAATTGTGATATAGTGGGTAAAGCTTAGTTGCTTAATAAAAAAAACATGGCCTAACAATGGCTAGAATCGATCGAAACACGTTTTCAGTGGAACTTTTATTTTCTATGTTATTATTATTATCTCAATTTATAGTAGTAGTTTATTGTATCAAATTATACAAAATAGCATTTAATTGTATATTTTTAAATAGGACATGGATAAATTTTGAAAAGATCATAACTATCAAGATAACGTCGAGAGTTCTTTAAAGCAATGACGTCTGATGTTATATTTCATGTATAATTTTTTGCCCCCACTACCTAATGGGTCCTGGCTCCGCCACTAGGTCTTGGAATTCCTGAATGCTTCAATTATCTGCTTCTAGTGCAGATTTATTCACCTTCTTTACAAACTCTGGACATTCAGAACAGAGTAGCATATATCCTTTATGTTCTCACCACCTTACAACAGGTGGAGATAAGTTTCTGACTGTCAAAACTATATTCTTAATACTGACTATAACCGATTCAAAACCTCATGTCTTACGTGGTGAGGCAATGGAAATGCATATCCATTTTCTTATTTATTTATTGGTTCTTACATTTATGCTATATTAGTTTCATTAGGGAAGTAGCCTACCTCAGCTGGGTTCATCTGCTCTCCTTTCAGTCGGGTAATTTTTTTGCTCCTTTACTTCTTTTATAGCAATTGCAAACAAGAACAGATCTCCTGCAGGTCTTCCAACGGGCTCAGACATAAACCTTAATTATTCTGAAGTGATAAGAGACTGCAGCAAAGGAGTTATTTCTGCATGACAAGATCAAACCGAAAGGAGGGACCTCCCCTAAAAGCTACATGTCGAGCACATCAGACAAATGGCTCTTTCATGACTCTATAACACACTACCTTATCCTTCTCAGTTTGGTGATCTCTTTTTAATGTGAGGCCCCAATTCCAATAACTACCTTTGCTGTTGAAGCTGCAGCTATTTTTTGTGCTTGGGAATAGGCAATAGCTTCAGGAGTTACTCACAGACTCAAAAAGCTACAGCGCACTTCCCTGCCTTGATAACACGGAATTTATCTTTCTTAAGATTGTTTCAGTGGGGCTTGCTCTGTTTGGTTGAACAACGACAAGAACCTAAGACTTGGCCCTTCGATTTCACCATAGAAAACCAACTGATAAGTTCTAAAGGGCAATAAAAAGATTCAGGAGTGACTTTCACTTCCTTAAACCTGATTTTGATGAAATTTGATACTAGATGCAATGCTTTCCTTAAGATGCCCACGTAGTTTCTTATATTTATCCTATATGAATTTTGTTAGCTGCGCTTATGTTCCCACAAGCTAGGCGCCATCTCTAGATTCGTGAGATCTATTCTACACAGATTTTCTTGGACGACTTTGACATAGGAAATTGAAATCATCCACCAACATATCATTATCCAGATTGTTTTCCCTTAAAAAAACTTAATAGACAGTACAAAAAAAAACTCTCTGTACCCCAATATCGTATGTATGCACCATGACATATAGCAATATTCCTAATCAAAATGCAAAAATGCAGCTGCAGAGATGAATTTGAAATGTCATCCAATTCTTCTGTGGACAAGGCATATGTGGAGAGCTAGGACCAACAAACATTTAAAAAAATAAGGTGAGAATGTAAATAAAGAAAATACCATTTTCCTCAAATTGCCCAGAAGTGTCAATTTTGTGAGGCCTGACCTGCGGCACATAGTCATTTTCGCAAAATCCCATTGTGTGCAGAGAGGTGCCTGCTATTTTATTAAAATATAAAACAAGAGGTGAGAAATAGCAACAGAGGAAATGAAAAAGGGATATTTTGTATGTATACTCCTTAGATTATGTATATTTGAAAATAAATAGCCCTCAAAGAGACAAATCGTCAACTTTGATGGGCTAATTTGTAACTGCCATGTAAAAATATCAACAAAATAATAAATTTTTTACTCTTCCTATCGAACAAAGTTGATTTGTTGATTTGGGGTGTGTTTTTTTCCAAAGTTGATGATTGCAGGGCAGCTTAGCAAATACTCATGATTTAAGGGTTAAATACACAAAAAAAACGCAGAAAATCATGGTTTCAACTCATGTTCCTTGTTAAAAACAATACCATTATCTTCTGCTGGTGGAGCAAGGACTGAAACAGTTAATGGTCCTCCATCAAGCTGGAGCTTAAGTCGGATGCTATCTTGTTCATGTGGGCTTGTGGGATCATCTAAAGGTTCCTTGCAATTTTCCCCTGTGTTATCTAAAGATTCCTTGTGATTTTTCTCTGAGTCATCTGAATATTCTTTGCAATTTTTCTCTGTCCCATCTGAAGATTCCTTGCAATTTTCCTCGGTCTGATCATCTGGAAGTTCCTTGCAATTTTCCTTTGTGACATCAGAACAATGTCCAACTCCATTTGAAAGTGGCTCCTCGTTGATTCCATCACAAGAAATTCCTTGAACGTGTACTTGAGCTTTAGACTCAGAAGAAAGTTCTACTCGATCTGAATCTTTTGACAGTGAAACAATTGGTTGCTTCTGACAGCTAGCTGGTAGATTTTCACTAGAAGAACTCTTCAGAAGCTCTACTGACAGTTCACCGGGAACCTTACTGGTCGTAACATGCTTCGAATCTAAATCAGAAATTGGCCCTTCATCGTCAAACAAACTTTCATTTTCCCAATCACGTACTTCTTCGTATATCTTTTTTATATGTTCACCAGCAGTATTGACATATTTATTGCAGGTGTCAACATAAATGTTGCAAGATGTCTGTGTATAAAATATATAATTATTATTCAAAAATAAAAAAATAAATTTAAGATCCTTTCAAAATCAGTGTAAAAGAAATTTACTGAAAGTTTAGAGATTTAGGATAATACCCAAATCAAGTACCATCTTACAAACATAACTTAAGTACCAAAGTGTAATAATTAAACGCTTTTTAAGGCTCAGAAACGAAACAAACCTCGAGCGATTGACATATGCTTTTAACCCAGGATAACCCATCACTTGCAAAACCCATATTGAAGAGAGATGATTCTTCTTCAAGCAAATCACAGCTTGTGTTCTTCACCTCGTTTGTCATTTATTATATCTACCTATATTATAATCACAATAGATAACCTCAGCTGTTCAAATAAAATGGTTGTTAGCTCTTAAAAAGCTACAATATAAACAATCAATGTTCTCCAAGGAAAGGTGAAAGTTTTCTATGAAAGCTGCTCTAGGATTGACAACTGTAGTAAATCTAGATCTTAAAACTTTTCACCAGTCAGACTTTTAAATTAGAGGCTCATATTCCATGGAAACAATTCAAGCTGGAAACAAATTTTAATCGATAAAGAAATGAATGATAAGAAATCTTGTGAATGAACTTAGATTGTGTAATACTTTTGCTGCCCAAGAATCAATTGGACTTGACTTGAGCCAGATTCAAACATTTTAAAAAGAGTGTGTAGATTGTACCTGTTAACAGTAACAGTCATCCAATAGAATCAATGAATTTCACTGGATTACATGAAATAGACATATCCGTAGGACACGTGCTTAGATCATGATTCTGATATGTATTATGCCGCTAGGTGCACGAGATATTGTATATGGATACAGCACTATATATTTATATGTGTTCGTGGATGCAGCAGATTTCAAACTTACAAAAATAGTGCATCGTGAATATGACAGTAATATAATAATATGTGTGTAAATCAAAATTACTTCTTGTAGCATTTAAGGCCATCATATCTACAGGAACAGAATAACCCAAAGATATAACAGATTCCAAGTTATATAAATCAATAGCTATGGGAATAGTCAAAATGTTTAGTTAAGTGGACAATACATTTTTTTAGGAAAATAGTAGACAAAATACATAAATGCACGTCAACAAGTAAAATGAAATTACACTAGGTTTAAATTCTCTTAGTCTTGAAACATCTCTATACATTCTATCAATGGAAAGATGACATGTCTTGAATACCTTATGAGATTTTTAGGTATATAATAGGAGTATCTATCAGCTATCCAGGTAACCAAGTACCAAGTAAAAATAGATACCGTATCTGGCCCATACCCATGCAAGATAGTCTGTATTTGTTGATGTAGTTTCGGACTGAATGCTTAGAGTACAACCAAACACAAAAAGAACATATTTATTTTATTGTGGAAAATTTATTGTGGACCTTTTATCTTTATAGAACATTTGAACCGGTAATCCAAGTGCAGCTCATTGTAAACATTGTGTTATATCAGATTAGTCAACTGACCTTAATTTTGACCATTAACTTCTGGTTTGGATCCTAATATCCTATAGTGATTGATTCCATGATAAATAGTATAAAAGGGAAACCATTTCATGAGAACTTCACGAAAATTCTCGATTAACAGAGTTCACAGAGATAAAAAAAACTAAAATTATAATCAGACATTGAAACCATGTCATAGAAAACCTTCTAGTACAATGAATCCAATCCTTCATGTAAGCCTAAAGTACCAAAAAATCAACTTAGTTACAGTAAACTACTGGGAGCTTAGGACCCAAGCATTGAATATGCTACTTTTGGCTTTCAATTATAGAAATTCGGTGAAGAAGAAAGGTAAATTTAGCTCTAGTAAACAGAAGGAAAATTGCATCATTACTTCAATAATATCAGTAAGTATGCAAATGTGGCAAGTAAACTTGTACTACACAAAATAAACTATACGTATTTCACTTATTAGCATATATCATGTTACCATTGCCATTAGAATACAATAGAAATCAGGATGAAGCAATTTTTGTTCCAAATTTATTTACATGTAATATCCAATCAATTACAACATATAACTAGCACACTAAAAAAACAATTGAAATTAGACCATATTGGATATGAATTCGAAATTATTGAAAAAAAAATTAAATCCTAGAAGCAGCAGCTACCCAGTTACATGTTTTCTCAAAGTAAGAATCTCCTTCTGGGTTTTCTCTTTCATGTAATTCAAGGAACATTATTCATGAAATTTCGATATGCCATGTTTACTCTAAAACAACAAAATACAGAAATTATAATTCTATGACCAAATATTAGAGCAATAGAATGAAACCTCATACTATGTAACTTCCAAAATTACGTAGAAATTTAGAATCCTATGTTCCAAAAAAAACAATAACCATTATTGCATGGAAAATAGTTAAAATCTCAATCTGGGTTTTCTTGTTTCCGTAATTTGTAAGTAATACAGTTAAATTTCATGTTGATTTGTTTACTCTCGAACTAAACGCATACACAAGTGGCAATTCTAGAACCAAAACATAAGAATTATTCCTCTACAAACTCAAACAAATTATTGACCAAAAATTGTGCAGACAAATCCGCAAACAAAACCCACTTAGAAAAACTCAAACAATCTACATGAACATAGACGATTAGCAAAAATTCAAACCCATCAAGTGAAAAAGTAAAACCTTTTATGAAGTGTACAGTATATTGTTTATTGAAAAGATAAAAAAAATTACCTCCCAAATTTTCAGGGGAAGAACAGAATCGCTGAAGAAATTCAATCCAATTATATGAAAATGAAGAAAACAAAACTAGAGAGATCAAACAACGGGGGACCTGATCAAGAAGAGCTCTGAAAACCGAAAGAAAACACTAGTGCTAGAAAAAAGAGAACCTTGGAAGTGGTGGTAAGTGGGGTCCACCAGTACATATATGGGTGGGTCCAATCATAATTTCTTTTTCTATTTTTTTTATATTTTTCATATATTGACAAGTTATATACTTGAAATTTAAGTTGCCTATTACATGTATTTAGATAACGAGTAGTAGTTTTTTTTCAATTAAATAAACTCTTATCAAATAACTTCTATATATATTTTTAGAAAAACTTAGTTGTTTTGTTGATAACAATAATGAGGAGTTTGCGAAGGGTTTAGGGTTTTTTGAATACTTTATTTTAAAGAAATAAAAATTTGTTGATATTTTCACTCTCCTTTATGCACTCACTTTGTTGAGTTTCAAGGGCATGACTTTTTATTTTTTTAATGGAAGGACAGGACTTATTTGAGTACTTGATTTTCTAACATTTGCAACTAAATATAGAAATTTTAAATCTTATTGTAATCTTGGTATAAGATATATCAAGAAAGTCCTATCTTATTAACTTTTAATTCAATTAAATTACCAACAATATGTACTTATTAAATTTACTTTAAATTTGTCTTTTCAATTATGTACTTCTAACCATATGTCATTAATAAGTGATCGAAATCATTTAGTTTTCAAAAATATTCTACTTAAAATAATAAGAAATTTTCTATAATTTTACGGGATGGCTTGTTTTTGGTACCGCTCTATGTTTTGAAGTCTGTATATAGCAAATAAAATATTTTTTTGATGTAATATATAGTAAATATTGTACTTTCTTGCCTATGCAAGTGTGTCTAAATGATATTAAACTTAGCGTAAAGCTTTGTAGAAGGTTCTGAGAAGGTTTTATTTCAAATCACCATGATTATTCATCTAAAATGTCTTCATTTAAAAAAATTATGATAAAGAGAAGATTTCTATTCATTTAAAATAATTTTAAAAGTGAAGATTGCTCTTTGTTATAGCCTGCAATTGTGACACGTGTCCCACTCCACGTCAGATTAGACATGATCACGGCCAAGACGACTCGAACCACTACTACGGCCGACTCCATAAGCCGACAACTTACATGGCCGACTCGAAAGGTCGTATTTGCCAACCTACCTATCAGATCGAGCCCACAAGCCTCCACACTCAGTCCACTACCTCAGCCGACAACTCTCGATTCCGACTAAACAGGCGGTGTTAGTCAACCCTCCACCAAACGACTGAAGAGGCGGTACTTCTCGCCTTTCTTGCAAGGAGTTGTCCCTTCTCGACAGGTAACCTGACTCGTCCCTTCTCGCCATGCCGAGTCATCCCTTCTCGCGACGCCGAGTTGAAAGGCAGTCTTGCTCCCCCCCCCCCCGCCAATAGCCAGTCACCATCATATTAAATGTATGGTCAAAAATCATCACTAATTTAGCCCAAAAATCTTTATGACTCATCAGGCTTCGTCAGCACCAAGCAGCTGCTGTCGCTTTATACTAACCCCCTAGATGACCCATCTTCACTAGCTGCTGACACCTGTCAGCTGTTTGCCGAGTCAGTTGTCTGCTTGGACTCAGCTCAAGTTACATATCTGCCCTTATGATCCTCTATAAAGCAAAGTCATGCAGCTCAAGGTAACTTTTTTGGTCTTCCATACAACTTCGAGATTTTCATCATCTCATATTTTCTCACTCAAGTTCATATACTAACTTGATCGTCGGAGGAATAACCGGATAATCAAATTCCAACCTCTTACGAGTTCTTCATATGGAGGGAAGAACAGCGACCTACAGAGCCAGTCATCTGAAGGGGTTTGAGAACCCTAACTCCACTTTAATCCACAAACAAATCCCCTGTTAGATAACTGACATCAACAATTCGACGCCTAATGTGGGGCCTACCATTCTTCTTCATATAAGATGTCTGGTTCTAAGCGTCCTAGTCGAAGTTTCAAACCACTCCCTGAAGAATCCTTTGCGGGCTATGTCACGCAGGCCCAGTTGGAAGAATCTACATGAGAGATCTCAATCTTTTCAGCAATAGTTTAATGCGTTCACCAATGAACTCCTTAGCCGCATGTCTCCCCAACAAGCTTCATCATCATTCATTCATCCACCTCCGGTGGGTTAGCCATTCATTCTCCTACATCCTAGGCATGCAGCCCAAGTTGGACAACAAGAAGACTATGTCGAGCATGTCTCTCCCTCACCTTGCCAACAAACTTGTTTTGCGGCCCCTCCTTGGCAGCATTAGCAGTACATGGAAGCAATAGGGGAGAGCCCTAGCTATGGTCATGATGATTAAGGGCCTCCTACAGTGGCGGCATCACACGATCACCGGCTTCTTCGTACCACTCTAGGCCCCTCATTTACTAATCTTGCGTCTAGTTATGACCGGATCTTTCAGGTATTTGCTAGGACATAAGGGGGAACACTCCCCTCGCTGACAACATCATGAATGCTACTTGTAACAAATTCATGATGCCTCACATGGAGAAATAC